CCATTTATGTACTGAAGACAACAAACGTGGTTAAATAGACCCTAAAGGTATCGGGCTCATATATATATATATATACATACTTGCGAGTTTATGGGTTTGCGGCTTGGAGATTTATGGGTTTCGGATTCTGGGGTTTGGCAGATACGGTGCTTATGTCAACTGTCCTACTGGCACTGGGGCTTGGGGCTTGGGGTCTCGATTCTAGGGTTTGAGGGCAATGTCGTCCTTTTTGCTGCCGACCCCTATAAGACATCAACCTCCTCTGAGCCCAAAACCCGGTTTCAGATTTCGGAACAGAGGGCTTTCGAGGGCTGAGAAGCTTCTAGGCTCTAGTCAGAATTGTCGAGGTTAGGACGCAAACAGTTGATGGACTGAGCTCGGGACTTGTCGTTCGTGAGATATTCTGTCTCTCGTACATGCGCGCATAGCGGGGTTGCCCCAGACTTGGGTGCTAGACCCTTGTTAAGCAATAAGCTCCTTCAACATTGTCTCGGCTTCCGCAAAAAAAAAAGAACAGGACCCCGACACCTCAACGAGGCCCAAACCTATAAACTGAAAAGACTCTACACATGATCCTTGTCAAGCATCCAAAGCCATACAGGCACACAAAAACAAAAACGAACAACAAGGGCAGGCAATGAGGGCGAGGCAAGGAAGTTTGCCGGGCCTTAAGAGTGCGATCCGAGAGTCCCTGCATCTTCTCAAACCTAAGCCTAGACAAAGCTAAGGCACCTACTCTCGTATAGAGGCTCGTGGACTTATAACTGTAGTATTGCGTATCTCGGCTGAATAACGCAATCGAATCTGCAATCAATAACTCATACACACTGCCCTGAGTAACAGAAACCTTCGAGACAGTGTCGCTCGAAACCAGCTCCCCGGTACGTGATTGAGAGTAGCTGGTACTTGTTTCGGCTGTACAAGAAATAGAGACTCAATAGCCCCTGGCCCAAGCCCTGAAGTGCAAACCCCAAATGCCCCAACCAAACACCCAAACCCCGGACTCAGAACAGTCCGCTTTAACAAAATAGCAAAAGCAAAACCAGCACATAAATACAGACGAGACAGTCTCCAGCCTCGCACTGGACCGGCTCCAGGCTCACCTGACTTCCCGAAAGCCATGGTTTCGGCTTGCAAACCTCCTTCAATTTGGGGGTTTGGGGAGTTCAGGCCAGCCCAATTCCAAAAAGCCTAAAGAAGCCCAACCATGGCCTGCAGCGCTGCAGCCGAGAGCCTAACCTCTAAAGCATCAAAGGTGCTCCCAAGCTTCCCTTGAGGAGGATCCTTGGGGCTCGGTGAAATCTGCAAACAGTTTCAAGCAAACCCCATAAACTCCTCCTCTGCGATCTTGCCTAAAGCGCTGAACCGAAATCCTGCCAAACAACCAAGCCCAAACCTTAGATACACCCCTAACCTCACTTTCAGGCTGGAACCCAAGGCACCTCGAAAGTACCGGAGTCCGCACCCGAGATGGTGCGGAAGGCATCGAAGAAGCAGCCAAGGTCGGAGCCTCTTTCAGTTCGGGCACGAGCAGGTATTGCGGGATCCAGGAACACGGCAATACGGCAGTGTAGGTCTATAGTAATAAGGTATAACTTGTATAATAGTACCAGTACCAGAAGCATGCTTGATCACAATGCCGCAGTAAAGTATCATCGTTTGATATCCTTACTTTGGTTCTTGGAGTCGTTGTTATGCTACTGCTGCTGTTCTTGTTCGTGCTGCTAAGCTATATTGCAGCTCTTGCATGCATTGCAGTATCAGATCTTAAAAATCTGTCGACCTCTTGCTGGCCTCATTCCTGATGATCCTCTCTTCTTGGTCCCTCCCTCCAGTAGCAGACCGAATCGGGCACCGGCACTGCAAGGGCTGGACGACGCTTGGGTCTGATCTGAGGACGTTGCAGCGTACCACGGCTAGGACCGAACTGCAAGAATGGCTCAAAGCCTCCACAAACTCCCCAAGCACTACACCAGTATTTAACACATCTCAAGTTTCTGCCGTAGGCCAGTTTAGTTCGGCCTTACTTACGCGCACGGCCTAAGCTGGAACGACCGACTGACCCTGATCCGGCCAAAGCCCTTCACCACAAGATGCATGTAAAAAGCCCGGACCTTAGATCCTGAGATTTTGAGATTGAGGATTTAGGATGTTGTGGTTTTGCGGCTACGACGGACCTGGAAAGGAGAATTCCAGATCAAACGAAGATTGGTATGACTGAGGTTTTATGTAGACCCCTCAGTAAAAAGGCAGATTCCCTAAAAAAATAATGCCAACCTCTACGTGGACCGGCGTGGGGATCAGGCTGAAGGGGAACATCCACAACATTCGCCCCGGGGTGTTACCCGATATCGCTCAATGCCATTCGAGCTGCCGTTTGCGAAGCCCGTGGCACGAGGGGAAACATCGGGATAAACGCAAGGCGGAAAGGTGGTCGTTTCTCAGAAATCCCTCAGTGCTCCAGCTTTCGCAGAGTGCTTCTTCGTCTCCACGAGAAGACAGTGTCTGCCCCCTGCCCTTCTAGCTGCTCTCGACCGATTCCTTCTGTTCTGAAACCAAGGTATACGATGAGGCCGATATCAGAATGGGGTTTGCTAATCAGAAGGCTTTGAAACTGAAAGCAGCGCGCCTGCCTCCATGCGACCCAATAATCTGCACCACCATGCTGCCCTGGCCCTCACGGTGAGCCTCCATGTGCTAAGTAAAGGCTTCTGGCTTCAGGGGTTGAGGTTCATGAAACCTATAGGACCTAGCTGTCGGATGCCAGAGGCCAAAACATTGAGGACCCTCAGCCCCACACCCTGAATTCTAAACCATACAACATTGCACAAAGCATGCTGGCACCGTGAGACTGCGCGTTGGTCAAAGGACGCTGTATAGTATTTATTGACAAGTTGCCATGAATAGTAACAGCGATGCTAAGGCTTCGCCCAGCATGTTCCGCTTTTCGTGCTTCAACTCAAAAACTTGCTGGTTCGCCGAGGAAGCCCTGTACTCATACACGGTGCTACACGGAATACGAGCGAATAAGAATTTTGGCTTGACAGCCTACATAGAGGAACTTCGAACTCCACTGCCACCTTCCAGCAGGAACCGCAGGCTGCGCCATTGCCGTAGATCTCCTCGAGAGAGTTTGCTGAGTTTAGGGGAGTTCGGGCATAAGGATCGGGTGCTAGGACTTAAGGCAGCTGCCAAGAGCCAAGCCAGCAGTTTTGCACTCCATGGATTATGCTAAGGCCCGTTACTTAAGACATAGTAATTATGAGAGTCTCTGGGCATCTCGGGGCGGGTGTATCTGGTTTCGAGGGGTTGAAGCTTCTGCTTTGTGATGTGGTTAGCGGCTTCGGGTTTCATGATGCCCGCGCACCGAGGGCGACCGGCGACTGGAGGGGCTGACGACAAAGTGATCGTCCGAGGCCTTCCTATCGAGCTCTTCTTGTGGATGGCTCAGTAAAGAAACAATTTGATCCAGAAAGAAACAACGATCAAGTGAAGTCCATAAGTTTCGGCAAACTCTGGAAAACTCCGAAGTTAAGTACACAAGACCCTTCAGCCGATTTTGCGGGTTTTGGGTTGTAGGCGTTACGGCTCCGTGGACAAAGGATATGTCGGCTTCGGTCCGGGTTGGCGATGCACACTGCGCGAGACTCCAGGTACTTGCTTGTCGCCGCTGGCGACCTTTGCAGGAGAGCAAACACCAAAGGGCCCAATACCCCTTAATCAACCAAAGGATCAAGAGCTTAACGCGTACTTCTGGCACACGAGCATGCCATGGGCAAGGGTCAGATTGCAACTAGGACAGAACTTACAGGGTGTTGGGTGATCCGAGATGTGCACTTCATGGACAGCGGAAAACCAAAAGACTCCAAATAAAGTAGTTATAAAGGCCATGGAAGCACACTTTACTTGGTTTATGTTGTCCTTTTTGCTAGTTTACGTCGACGTCTGGACGTCTATCTATTTTCTGCTTTGCTCTTAAACCTTGCTTCAGGTTCGAGTGTGCGCACGCTAACATTTCATTGCAACGAAGACAAAGCAGAGGAACAAACGACCAATCTGATCCAAACCACTTGTATCTCCATCGGTTGCACTAAATTTGTCTCCGCCCTTCGCTCGCTCATGCTGTGTTTGCTTCAGTTATTCTGGTAGTGTGGATTCCTGATTCATAAACTCCACTGGGTTGACTAAGGGCCTTGAAACGAGGCTTCTGGATCCGGGGACCGCCTTGCAGTATGTTTCATCAAACAAGGATGAAGAACGCAAGCCAAACTTTCATGCCGTACACGTAAAGTAGAGCATAGCTTAAATTCCTTTACAAATGGGTCGTCCTCTTGCCTGCTACAATTTTACTGGAACAAAGTACGCTCCGTTCCAATCTTTGTCTCTGCTTGTTCAAAGATTTAGCACAAGACACGTGAAACACACTAGATGTCATTGAATCATGATGCGTGAGTGAAAGAATGATTTCATCTGTTCGTTTGGTTTTTGCCCGCCTTATCCTTCCAATGAAGCTTGCTTCTGAAAACCTTGACGTTTCTCCTAGGCATGGCTTCTCATTAAACACCTTCCTTTCTGCCATGTTAGCTTAGGTTTCGAAAGACTAACGTGACTAACTTGAGCTTCATGCATGCTTCTTTGATCTTTACGGCCGGCCTTCATGTTGTATTCCCTTCACGCATGGGCACGATGGTGTTACTGATTTCTAGTGCCGAAATTGCGTCTGTTTATTTGGTACATTACACTTCTTATGGCCGCCGCTTTACCTTTTCGCGCCTGCGCTTGACCCCAAACCCACCTTTCAAAGTGCGTGCCGGCAGCTGCAGACCCCCTTGCGATACCGCAGCATATTCGCAGGAACCGCCACGGAGAGCCTCGGCATCAGGCCGATTGCTGCGGTGCTCGCCGGTGCTTAGAGGATCAGGGATTTTGTAAATGGGTCTAATAACTGGCTACACTGCTAAAGACCTCTAGGATAAAGACGGAGACACTGATTCAACTTAGGTGTGCTTGCTTACTGGATCGAAAACTTAGTGTCAAGTTCGGGTGGTGACAAACCCGTGTACCCCGCACAGCACGTCAAGGTTCTGTTGCCCGAGCCACCTGGTTCGTCAAGTCGACTCCTCCAGGTACCAACCCCAGAAATCTTCACAGGAAGCAGACATATCTCAGTGCAAACTATGCCACCGATACATCCTTTGTCCACAGGCCCATGGTCGCCATGACCGCCTGCGGCACGGTTCTGAAATTTCCTACCCTTGGAGTTCCCTGTCAGGGCGGACAGCTGCAACACTTTTTTATCGTGCTTCGGGTGTATAAAGCAGGTGTTCATCCTCCAAAACTTCCAATTCGATCTAGATGCCAGGATACCAAGTAACTAATTAGGTGTCTTGTGGTTGAGGATTTGGGGATGAGGTTAAGGGCTTTAAGTTAAGCGTCTTCAACTGACACGACACACTACGAGTCGAACACCACACCTTCAAACTGAAAGGGTTTAGAAATTTGGCAATACAGTAGGGTCAGAATCTATATAGCATTCAGGGCATTCAACCAACAAACAACGCACCAAACCTAAAAATGCTAAACCCTGCATCAGACGAAGCCTTGCTTGGTGTAGGACTAGGATGCCACCCAACTCCATCCCACCGAAGGGCTCTTGCAACGGTTACTTGGGCTCAAGGGTTGAAAGTGAATTCGTAAGCAAGTTTTAGGTGGGTCGGCGCGCAGGATAATCAACCAATATGCTACCAAACCACATGCTGACCTGCTTCTCAAGCACCCTCATACTAGATGTGTTCATCACCATCGCTGTATATCGCTGTCATCCCAAACGTTTCCCGAAGCCTTGAATCGTTCAGCAAGAGCTCTCGCGTCTCAGCCCCGACGATCTGTGCCCCAAAACCTTTCATCTAACACCGAAGAGTAAGGGGCCCCAGCCGAAGCAGCAGAGACCCCACCCCCTTTAAATGGGACACGATCAGAGACTCTGAAAGGAGAAAGTCGGGGTCCCCCTACGGCCCAACCCCCCCTCCCCCCCTGCCCTCACCCACATCGTCTTGTGCACTCTGAGCCTTCTACTTGGGCCCTGATGTGGAGACTTTTCTTCGCCTTCGAGCGGGCCGATGCGGACCACGCGAAGCGTGTACAGTTATCTGCTAATTGTTCACATCTAAGTACTAACTAAACCAGCTACCCGAAACCCGAGAGGCCTCAGTCGACTTGCTTTTGTTCAGCTGGCTCCGCCTGCGCACGGTACTCTAGCAGCCTCCAGCATTTATGGTTGAGGACAACCCTGTTGGGTGCATCCCTGGCACCCGAAATCCCATCCCGCAATCATACGTTTTATACACACCTACCGAACATAAATCTCCATAGGACCATACGACCACTGTAGGGTTCACGGGTTGGGACCAAACAAGTCCCGAAACTTGAAACAACACTCTAAGCCGCAAAGATTCAAACCCTATGGCAAACCCTGAAGCTCAAACCTTAACACCTCGCTACAAAGCACCAACACACCATCACATCCTATGACTTCAGAGGTATTGCTGGTTTTGGGGCTCGGGGTTTGGGCTTTGGGGCTGTGGGTGTGTGAAGTATAAAGCCGTATCAGAGTTGTTTCGAGCCTACAAAGTCTAAAGCCACCATTTCAGTCATGCTAACCTGTCGCGATGTCAACCTTCTTAAGATAGTCCATAGTGCAAAAATCAATCAATAAATCCTGCAAGATCCAGCTGCTAGCCACACAGATCCTTCAGGTCACTTTTAAGTACATCTTTCTTCATGCCATGTAAGCACAATTAACCAAAGCCTGAACCATGGAACTCTGAACCGTTCGTTAGACTAACTAGCAGTGGGAGCCGAGAAAATTTTCAACACGGTTTTGTGGTCACTGGCTTTCAGGGCTCAAGTGCGCCTTGCTTGCAGCATCATCGGCCCCGAGGTGGAGGCTGCGCAGCTCTCGGCACCCGCAGGTGGGCACAAGAGCGCAATGATCCTGGATTTTGGAGCGCCTATGGCCGGGTTGGGATACGATTTAGATACTCCCTCTTGCGCCTTATGCTAACCTCATGCCCATTTTCAAGAAAGGTTTGGGAAGATGGTGTAACTGCGTAACGGACATCAGGCGGAGCACAGAGCTGCAAAGAAGGAGCGGCTTGCCATGGCCATGCTGGCGAGAGTTTTTTGCACGTGCGAAGCAGCGGGTTGCCGCAGCTTGGAATTCGACCAAATGGCTGCGTAGGTAGTTTTGATTGTGGACCGGGGTCTGAGGTTTCGAGGCTTGGATCACCTTGAAAGCAGCCTCCCAACCGAGACCCGCAGACTGCTAGAGCCGCTCAACATACTTCTAAGTCTCATTGCATGAGAAGTGAGCTATCAACTCGTCAAGGCTTCAGGCAATCCTTCAGGGTCCCAGACGACGGGGAGGCCCTTTAGGGTCTCAATGTCTTCGCCGAAGGATGGTTTCAGGCCCGCTGATCCAACAACCTTTTTCGAGGCCGTGGTAAGTAGACGGAGAATAGTAGTTCATGTAAAGTAAATACAGGCTCGAAACCGATGGCAAACAAGTACCATGAGGGACAGATTTATGCATTTTGCAGGAGCGACTAAGGGATGCCATAGCTTCCATTTTTTTACAGCAAATGACGCACGAATCTGGAAATCCCTGATCCCGAAACCGAACACCAAAATCTCTAACCTTAACAACCCTAAACCCTGCACCCCAAAACCTCGGAACCTAAACCACAAGGGAGATGCAAGATGCTTTTGAAACTTTCAAACTGTCGCGCAGCTGGCAGTCTTTTTGGCTGCTCTAAAGCAGCCTGGCAGGCACACTTAAGACTTCAGGATTTACGGTTTGGGATGCGGGGGTTGAGGTTTGTGCGGCCGTAGGGTGAATCGTCTTTGGGGTTCAGGCGACCTCATTCATTTTGGTTGCAGGGTGAGCAACAGCGGCGGTCACGAAAGTCGCAGGCATAGCTGCTGTGACCAGCACCACATGCAAGATCTAGAAGAGGCCATGCTTCTTCTTGGCGTTCTCCTGCGCAAGCGATGACAAAACATGAATCTATTTTACAGTCGAGTCACACCCCAAAAACCGAACCATAAGAACTGCAAACTTAACCCAAACTGTGCTTCAAACCTAAGACTTTCTGCTCCTTCGTTCCCCACAATCAGAGAAACAAGCAACAAACCACTTGGTCACCTCTGTTGTGTGGAGAATCCTCTCTCCACCCAGTTCTCCGAAGCTCAACGTTCGTTTCTTGAAAACCAACAAGCGTTCCTACTTACCAAAACAAACATGTCAAGCCTTCGATCTACGAACCCCGGAAGTGCAGGGTTGTTCCATTGGCGAAGTAAGTGAAACAGGCGTCCCGTATGAGGGGTCCTTGTAATTCGTATGCTGTTACATGCAGCCTCTATGTTAGGGCCGCATACCCCGCTATGACGGCAAGCAAGAACAGGAGCTATACTAAGTCAAAGCTTTCACATAGGTGGGAGTTTTCAGTTTCAGGGCAGCGGGCCTATGTGACGGAAACACTTTGTGATACCGTGTCGTCAAGATCCCGGCCAAGGAAGTGCATACGAATGCCGACCTGCTAAACCTGCACCGGACTGGATCTCAATCCATAAACCCTCGTTTAAACTTTAGTCCTTGTGAGGACAATCTCTGAGCGAAACTCCTATGTCGTATGATCTGTCAACTTTCACATAAGCTCGCCCCAGACAGGACGTCCGCGAAGTGACATTGGACACGCACGACAGCCCCACCTGACCGATACCCCGGCAACAGGCATCCTGGTTTCGAGTTTGGTCAAAGGGTCCGCATACATAATCATATATACATATATATGTATGTATGTATATATATATATACATACATATACTACCGCTACGAAATTATAGGTCCCAAAACTGTCCCAAGACAGCAAACCTACACCCCTGCGGCCTCAAGTGCTCTTTCCTTAAACTTAACCTTTACTTTTGCCTTTTTCTGGTAGTGGCAAGGCCAATCGCGACCATATTAAACTCAAAGCCAGAAACCGTACACCCTTAACAACATTAAGCAAATAAAGACCTCCAAAACCCTGCGCCCAATCAAGAATTGGAGTTCCTTCTTCCACTTGGGAAGCTTTGCGAAGTCCGCCTGCGATTGGGGATTTAACAGCAAGGGTTTGGGACGTAGGGTTCAGGATTTGAGCAAAGTTGGGTGTTTAGTTGAGGCCTATTGCTTTCGGGTCGGGGCTGGCGTTTCGGGAATATCGGAGCCTGGCCCTTCGTCTTGGCAAGCTCGTGCTCACCGTGTTGCGTTTAGGCTTCAGTAGTCGTTGCAGGTTGCCATTACTAAGCACCCTTTGAAATTGGGAACGACGATGGGGTCCATGCTAGTTTCAAAAGGGTGAGTCGTGAATGCCGAAAGACCCGTATTCCAACAAGCCCTAAGTCGCAAGCCTGCACCCCACATATAAGCCCACAAAGACCTACAAGAACCCTCCACAGTAGGCTTACAACTCAAACCCCGATGTGGAGGCTTTTTTGGAAGCACACAGAATCCTAAACTCTAAGCCGTTGACGCCTACGAACCCTGTGAAGTGGGCTTTTCTTGGAGGCCCGCCCCAAGTTTACTCGTTGAATCGAGAACCCTCGCTATGGAGCAGAACACATCAATTGTCAGAGTATTTTCAAAAGGTTTTGATGTTTCCCAACTTTACCATAACCAATACTCCCTCATCTCCATCGTGCGAAAGGGAACCGCAACCCCACACCAGTCAGCTGCTTGGCCTTTGGCATGCCAAAGAGCTTTTGGAAAATTCGCTCTGGCAGGTACGTCTCACCTGCAACATTCTACAAACCCCCACCTGGAAAGTCGAATAAGCAGGTTTCTTGGGGTGTCAAGGCTCAAGGATTTTCATTCTCAGGGCTTTCAATTCCCTGGATGGAATACAAAGGGCTGTTCAACGGATGAAAGCCGAGCTTGGCTAGAAACTTCGGTTGAGGCGGTAGGTTGGGCGTTCATTCAGAGGCCGGTCTATGTTAGGGTCCCATACTCTCTCAAACTCCCATTTCAATTCAGGGCAAGTTGAGGGCAGCCACCACCAGAAAGTGCACATGCACGGTATAGGAAATGGCTTCGCGCAACAAATGCCACTGCAACCAGCACAGTTTTGGGCATTGCACGCACGGAGAAACCTGGAATGGCTGCAAACATGCGTGAACAACATGTCAAGCGAGTAGAGCAGAGTAGAGAAAACATGTGACACGAGGAAGATGCATACCGAGTTAGAACTGTTAATGATGGAAGAGCTTCTTTTGAGTGACTACTTTGAGGCTGCGGGGACTTAGTAGTTACTGTAACCGCAGTGACAACCTGCTTACTAAGTTACTGGCCCTTTCAGTAAGCATGGTTCAATCTATAAGGTCCTGGGTGCAGCATCTGGGGCCTGGGACTCAGCACTAGCAACGACAGAAGCAGTGGCAACACATAAAGCAAGAAACAAACAATAGTTCCATATCCTTATATAATTTTCCGAACCCTGAGGCCCTAAACTCCTCAGGGCCTACGCTAAGCCCTGAGCCGCAAACCCGGCTAAACCCCTGAATACCCGCGGAGCTTGGTACCGGGCGTTCTGTGGACACGACATCCAACTTCTCCCAAACGCGCTTGTCCGTCAGCTGCCTTAGAAAGACATAAACGGGTTTCCACCCCCATAACTTCCGCCATGAAACCCTCTCCAACGCACCTTATTCACACCTTGATTATTCTTGATGACACTAGATGGCCACGGCAAGTTGTTGAACCACAGCCCGTGATGCTGGACTGGGGGCAGTGCTAAACAGACAAGCAGCGTGACTGCTGATTGTCATGATGATAAGTTGGAGCGTCTTGCGGGCAACCCATGGAACGATTGACGATCGCTTGTCCGGAGGAAAGTCTTGGAGAAGTAGCGACGAAGCTGATGCACATGATGCTGGAGATGGTGCAGCTGAGGGTGGGCTGGATTGGCTTTCGGACAAACTGCGGCGCAAGTGGTGCTTAGACTGCTGAAGCTTTCATACTGGTTACTGGGCATTTTCACAGCTGATGCTGCTGGCTGCTGGTGATGCTGAGTTTCAACCGGATTTTGTATTAGCAGCCCCTCAGTTCAGGATCTCGATGCAGGAGGCAGAGCTGAGCGCATGATAACACCGCAGGCATATGCAGCAACACGTCATGTTCGCCTTAAGTGGGAGAGCTTGAAAACTTGATGTCAAGGACCTCAGCACAGACCCCAAAAAGCAGCATCGGTGATTCATACATGAACTTTGAAGAAGGGAACCTACTTGTGCGAAATCCTTGTGTGCTCACGACAACCAGCGGACGGACCGAGGCTAAGATCGTCCAACCCAACTTCGAGCGCATGAACCCTCCACACGACAATCCAACACTGGACCCCGATACCCTAAATCCCAGACTCAATCACGACAGCAGTATGCCTGAACAGAGCTTCAGGGCCCGATAGCTGTCTCATCCTTTGACCCTGCATTCTCAGACAGATTGCTCGAGGGAAAAGCAGCCTTCTGGAATCTCCTTGGAGATTAGACATCAAACGTCTCCAAAGGTAGGCGGGATGAAAGGAGGTGGGGGATCCCGAATAAGGTCCTTTATAGCGGATGCTTGATCCCACCTGCGTTTAACCAACCTCTACGAGCTCTCATAGAAACGAGACACACTCTTGCATGAGGACGGTGCCGGGAGGAAGCGGGGGTGGCGCTGAGACAAAGCAAGCAAGTACTTAACTATCCTCTGTCGGCATCCGCGCGACTAAGGACTATCGCAGATGATGAGGACCATATGCATAAGACCAGTCATGCGGTGATCCCAGCTGCATTGACTGGAATCCCAAACCAGGCTATAAAACCCCAATTCGTCCTGTGTCTCGGCATCGGCCACTGGCGTTGGTGCATCCGAGCCCGCGTAGCCTAGGGACCCATCGTGCAAAACTGCAAGTCTCGAACTCGTGCTACATGCTTTTCACGAGTTTGGGAAGGGGTTGTCAGGGGTGTAGTTTGTGTGCATGCAAGCTTCTTACGGTTAGGGATCGAATTCTCGTTGTTTGGAGTTCGTATGATCGGGATCCCGCTATTTATTTCCGAAAGAAAAATGCCATGTTGCAGGACTTCGGACTTTG